CTGACAATAAACGCGTTTAAAATTAATTATTTCAACTTCGTTCAGATTATAATTTTTCTCAACTCAACTAAATTTACTTATAAAATTTCCAATACCAGAAGTTCAGAATGCGTATTAAGTCCTAATGTTCCAGACAGTAGCATATGAATTGAGAACAGAAGATATTTCTCCTGGTATTTCTAGTTATCTTCCTAATATTATTGTAAAGTGAAATACTTAGTTTCAAAGTTGCTTAAATTATTCACATAATACTGTGAGAAGAATTTAGCAAAAGACATTAAGATCTAGCGTTTCTACCGTTACTACTCAGGCGAGAAATGTTATCCGTGTTCTGAGACTGTACTCATGATGTACACTTTCAGATGAGATTTAATTACAGTAATTTAACAATAAAAGTAATAATACTTTTTCCATTAAATAGAGTGTTCTAGTGTGATTTGTTATCCACAGCAAACTTTAGGTACTTTCGAAGGAAATACAAGTAATGGAGAGAACAGTAAACAATCAAGTAGAAACGACTTTATGTTTGCAGTATTAGAAGCTAATGTTATATCCATTATAAAGGTTATTGCCCATTATATAAGGAAAGCATTAGACGAAATTTACGCAATATTGTGATGGAAGCAATTTAGATGATCAGAATTTCCATAAGTAGAAAGTAAACACTTCACAATAGATTAGATTAGTTTTGATCGATAAACGAAATTGATGGAGGCAATCCGGCGATCTGAGAAAAGGGAGGAAATTATATTAGAAAGTTGTCCTGTTTAAATGCTTCACAAGTGAAAAAAATCAAGAAAACACACGGGAAGTCTATTAGTCATTCCCAAAATGCATAACCAACTGAGATGGAATTTGGGCTTAGTATTCCAAAAAAATTTTATAATTTGTAAGTCCCGAATATTACGTTCCTTTACCAGGATTCCCGGCGAATTGCATTATGTGACAGGTCAAACCTGTGATGAGTATGGATAAATGACGATGTTATTCCACAGGGAAGAAAGTACCAAAAATTTACTATATATAACAAATTTCTCTCTCTTTTGCTAGACATTGATCGTAGATGAACTATAAATTTTTATTGAGCATTCAAATTTTAACAGAATCGCAAACAAATGACATTTCTCCACTGTGTGCAATCAAATGTTTGAAGAGATAATATCTAGGTTATGGCCGCTGTTTTAGAGACCAAAACGTCTGCCGCAACCTTGCTGATATCTTTACAGAAACGTTTTATTCCATCGCGAACAAATAAACTATATTTGATTCATATAAATTGTTTAATTATAATAGTTTAATGCTGCATTACGAGGAAAGCATTAACTGCAGATATTTCCTACTATTATTTCTCTTTCGTGACTCACCGGATTCTTGTCTAACGCATCTTTGTGAGAAAAGTCGATGACATTTATATTTTTAAGAATCCAGGCTGTTTTTTTTTGTATAAATTTTAACGAAAAGACGCGGTTTGAAAACTTTTATTTTCTCATCTCTGCCAAAAAAACGATCACTTGACGAAATTTCCACATCAGATGAGGATATAACGGCCAGGACCCCATTCTTCAGGTGCGATCGTTTTACATAAAGCTAACTTTTTACTTTCTCTCGTTTATAGATAAATATATAGGAACTTCTATTTATCTATTATTTCGTGAAGGGAGTACTTGTCGTCTCAAGAGTCTCTCCAGATAATTAACCTAGGAGGTTACGTCTCCTGCTGCACAGAAGTATGATATATGACTGATCTTAAGTACGTTATTTCTCAGGCAGAAATAGTTATTGATAGGCATAAAGCCCGCTTAAGATTAAAAACTGCTGTCTGTTGATTTGTACTGTACATTTGTAAGATATATAATTCACGCATGCAAAGAATTGCTACATGTAAAACGAATCAATATAAGATTTGTAGTTTAATGAAAAAGATGCTATACTGAAAACAATACTTTATTAATAAAATAAAATGAATCTGTTATAAACCAGTAAAACTAAAGTTTAGTTTGTTTTCTAATTTCTTAATAAATTTGAAATTCTATTTACAATATGATAAAGTAAATATGTACTCTACAGTAGAACATTCATTATCCAAAGTTGATGGGAATATAGTTTGTTTGGAGAAACAGAAATTCGAATATCAGTAGGTCCCCCTATAAGACTGTAGATAATTCCGTGTTATGAGAATTCCACGTTGTATGAGTCACTTAGATTTTACAAATTCATGAGCCGTTCACAGCCCGGCACACGTATTTGTAAAATATACCTGACCCGTACAACATGGAATTCATATAACACGGAATTATCTACAGTCTTATAGGGGGTCTACTGTACTATCCGAAATAATCACCAATATGGGTCCCAAACCAATCTTTTACAAACTCATTAAATATTGATATTTTCACTACAGTAAACTTCAACAATATCTGGAGGACCACATACTGCCGATGTGCAGTCTTAACGCAGTACTTAAGAGGCCGTGTTGATTAACGAACGAGGATACCAGAGATTCTCTATTTTTCATCATGAAATTTTTCGAAAATCAACATTGTCCACGAGCCCCCTAATTTAAATTTGCCTGGACTCCATAAAACTATCACGTTCTATAGATATTATAGTTTTTATGTTGTGAATAAAAGCTAATTTCTTTTATATAAAAAGTTTATAGAAGCTTTATTAAATTATTTCTTTAAATATATTTTGAGAATTGTACAATAAATTTTTATACATTAAAAATTAAATTATTAAATAATATAAACATTAAAAGTTCTATTGTATATTATTATTATTAGATATGCAAGTAAATACATTTTAAAAGTTAATTTTTAAAAATAAAATTTGAAAATATTAACTAAAACAATGTTAGAAAAATATTAAAACAGAGTTAAAATTAAAGAATTATCTGACAATAGATTACAGTAGAATCCCTCTAGTCCGCCATCGGCTAGTCCGTCACTCCGGTTAATCCGACCGTGGTCGAAGTCGAGAAACTTGTCCCGACTCGTCAGTGACTCACCGTCCGTAGCGTTCTTCTCTGTTCGTTACAGTATATGTTTTACATTGTGTGTACGTGTACAGTTTTGTGTGTGTTTTCAACATGTCAGGAGTGAAACGTAAACACGTTACTCTTTCATTAAATGAAAAATTAGCAGTGCTAAAAATACTGGACAAAGGGAGAATTGTTTATTTTACTTTTGTTTGATAATCCGACCTTTTTTGCGTTCCGATCATACCCCAGTCCAAAAGGTGACGGATTAGAGGGGTTCTACTGTATGTTACTAAATAAATTCAATAAAATTTATCTCTAATACATTTCATATAAATTTTTTTTTAAAATTCGTTACTTTTATACTTTGCATCAGGCATCTTCCTCCTATAATGGTGCTCTTTTTGTTTTTTCGGTTATAGTTTATTGGTTTTATTTCATGGATCGATTTTAATCTGTTTCTTCGTGTATGAATTTTCAGGTGCTTCCTGAAACTATAAATACAATTGTTTCAGCAGACGTTGCAAATGAATATGGTATCTCAATAGTGTGCAATCGAATGTCTGACGAGATGATGCATATACAAAAATCGGTTGCCGCAATAATAACAAACGAATGGTTTTTCGTTCTTATGCGTTTTCATGTGTGTTTTTAACGATGCATTACAACGAAACGCATCGATTACCAATATCACATGCAAATATATTTTCTTCCTGAGTAATTCTATTCACGTCTGATATATCTTCAAATGAGTAGTCGTCAGTGCTGATATCATCTTTATAAATCATAATACCCCGTGTTTGGGACATGATTGCTGCAAAGACAGAAATGAAAGTCAATACAAAAAGCATGTAATATAATGTAAAACTAAGTTTAGTGACACCCGAGATAATTTATAACAAGCACTTAAAAATTTCTTTTATTTATTGTTTTATGAAGAGCACATTCAGAATGGGATTGTTTTGAAAAAGAGCAAAACCAATCAACAAAATTTTTAAAAATTTTAAAAAGAAATAATCTCAAATGTAATAAAAGTGTGAACTGTCTCAACCTCTCAAACAGCCTACAGATTTTATGAGCGATTCTAAGACTCCAGAAATAAAATATGCTTGAAACATTAGGTTCTTTATTATAGCTTTCTGGGGCCAAGGTAAATTTGAATTACCGAAAAAATTTATTGTGAAATTCGGTATCCTCCTTTGTTTTTTAACGCGACTTCAATTTCTGCGATGCACCCTGCACCCACGTCACGCCAGCAATCTGGTGTCTTCAGACAAGGCACTAAATTAAAATTTCAATATTTTCACTACAGTTATGAGTTTATAAAAGATCCGTTTGGGGCTCGGTCCCAAGTACCTTTATGCCTATACGATAACACGCTACTGACGTGTCCTTTCTCTAGTTCATTTACATACAAACATATTACATTAAATACTAATTTTTAGAAAAATTGTTAATATTCTTAAATATATTTTACAGAAGTTCAGCATCTTAAAATAAAGAAAATCAAGAAATTGGAGTAAATTTCTTTATCTTTACACACGATAAACAGTTCGAAAAGAAGAAAAATTATTAAATCAATTAATAATAATTAAGATAATTAAAATAATAATACGTATTAGTACTTCATTTATAGTGTTCCCTCTGTAATTAATTATGAGACGTATACTAAAATAAACCCTTCGTGAAAAGATTTATATTGTTGCAGAAATCGTTAAGTGAATGTCACCCTACAAGTATATTTGCATAAAGTCTCATTTCAAAGAGTAATACAACTTGATAAAAGAGTTATAATTTTATTAATGTTAAAATAATAAATTTTAATAGATAATACAATACGAAAAGTATTATTAATCTGTTAAAGTATTGGGAGTAGCAATGACCTTTTCTATTCTACAATTTGGATTGACTGGAAAAATTATTCATTGTTATTCAAAACGAAATTTTATTTTTAGTTTCAATTTTGATTGTTAAAAGTATTATTACTCAACCTACATTGTTACCAAATTGATTTATTGTTAATTTCATTATGTAAAATATGCCAAACAGAAAAAACACTGTTTAATTTATCAATAAAACACTTACGACTTTATAAATACTGTTAATGAATGAATAATAAAATGCGCAAAGGAAAATCTGGATTTGAGAACTTTATGAAATTCTTTCGGAAAAACAGAAAAACCGCAGACTCAAAGGTAAGTAATTATTTAACATATACAAAAACTTCGATTTAGAGCCGAGTTCCTTCGCCTTTAGCACTTCATAGTCAGATTTGATTTAGTATAAATTTCAGTAAATGACATTAAATAAAGTGACAAATACTAAATACTAAATCTTCTATACAGTGAATAAGTATAACAAAAGGTTGAGATTAAAAATCATGTGTGCTATGGAGATTGTTTTCAGATAAATATTTATGTAAATATCCGTTTAACGTGCACTTTGTGAGCGAAGATGATTATTTTCATGGGAATTCTATATTTAAATTTGACTACATGTATATATAATTAATTAAGAAACTCCAATTTAAGCTGTATTCGGGGATATGTAGCACTCCTAATTCAAGCAAGTTTTTATGCTGAAGTATCAAACATTAGTGAGAGAGATCTCTGTAAAGAAATCTTCAGTTTCAAAAGTCACAAATTTTCGAAAATTTGTGGAGTTGAAATGAAGTAATTTGAGAAGAAATTTCTTACCTCTCGAGCACGCTGGAAAAATTAACATTATTACTATTTTCATTAAACATTAGAAAGAACAAAGGCGTATTCAGGCACTGTTATGACAATCGCGGCTTTTTTGCAATAACCTAAATGGTATTTTAAATGCCTCACACATACCGCAATAGAATGTCAAATTCCGTTCATTCGCTGAAAAATCTCTTCTGAATATCCGAAAACTTCATGTACGAAATTTGTTATAACGGATATATGGCTGTACAAGATATCCTTTGTACAGCTATATATACGTTCAGACAACATTAAATAAGGGTACTTTAATTACTCACTTGTATATATATAGATAACTCTTGGTATTCGTTTATTTGGTATTTAAGCTTTCACTATTTACAATAGAAAAATGACCGACAACTATTCGCAAAAATTTACGTATTACTGAATTACTTATATAATATTTCCATTGCAGTTCAATACTCGTAAAAACATACTTTAGTTATATACATAGTACTGTATATGTCATAGATCAAACTGAGTCACTGCATTAATAAACCCTTACGCCCATAATACTCTTTCTGCGCTGTGGGCACTAAGAGGGCCTGTTAAAGCAGGACCATTATGGATTCTGCCAGGCTCACAATGGGGCGGCCGGGTGGTGAGGGACGGGGCCCGACATATTCAGACAGATTACCCCACGAAAAATTCCTGGGGATTCCTTGACTCGTCCGGATTCGATTCCCGGGTCCCTCAGAGCGGTAGGCTGCCACCTTGACAGCTCGGCCATCCGGCCGTCATAGATAACTATGTATATATGCTGATCCATACATTTTTGGAAAAATTATAAGTCAAGAACCTTTTTTATGAGGCCCTTAAGGCCTATGCCCAAGATAACTCGGAATATGGACTGTGCAGCGTCACGCACAGCCCGAGTTATCTTGGGTTAATTAATAACAATAATCAGATAATAATCCTGTGTAATAGGTTAGGAATATAGACAAAGTATTCTAAGAACAAACCCTACCAGATCGATTCAGAACTCACAAATGAGGGACCACACATGATCATTACAGCAAATTTTCAAGTTAAACAAAAAAAAAACAATGCTACAGTCGCCAATTTTAAAAATATACAGCGCTATTAATTAATACAAGAAGTTGGAAAAATCAGAATGTATTTTTAGCACAATTTTTAGTTTATGCGAGCCTTAAATGTACGCTGGTTTGCAAATACTGTAGTCTTGAAGAATACGAGAAAAAAATCTGTCTGTAAGCGACATTAGCTGCGTTTTTCAAACTCTTGTAACTTCTCCGCAATTGTTTTCATATATAAGACTAATGATTTTAATATAATTAAACAAATTAATAAAATAAACCTTAGTTGTTTATTATTTGCTTATTGAATTATATACAAAATTTTAAATAATCTAGATACAGCATCATGCTGTAGCTCAGGAACATTGACTCGACTCGTATGAACCTAACTCGATTTTATCGTAAGCCTTCCTATTTCGTATTTGTGTAATTATTCAATAAATCTGGCAAATATTGAGAGTTTTCTATAGATATACATACACAAACTGTAGTTATGAAGAATGAAAAACCAAAATTCTCTATGTTACCAGGCACCAGAAATTATAAAATCAGCAAAGAAGAGTACTGAATATATTACTTCTCATTCTGGAAAAGTGACAGATAAGAAAAATTTCAACGAAGTATCGGAAGGAAAAAGTTATAAAGTTATTAAACAACCTGAAAAATTTACAATTGACGAAAAAACAATACTGAATACAACTTCATTTTCTAAAAATGAAAAACTCACCCCTACCTTAATAGACGACAGAATTAATTATCCTAAAGAAGTCACTGAAAATAAAGTGACAGAAACAACTACGGATCTAGTTGATTTTCAGAATTCATTAAGCAAAATAACTGAAATTACATTAGCAAATATTTTAAACAGATACAATAAAGTGCCATCAGATTTTCATATCATACAAGAAATTTATGAAAAAATAAAAGACGTGCTTAATTCTCGATTACAAGAAGATCCGAACTCAAAAACGTTTGAAGATTTTTATAATTTAATGGCAGATGATGAAATAATGGAAACGGTACAGCGCGTTGCAGATGATATCATGAGAGATCGTATGATTCAGAATGGAGAAACCATTAATCGTTTTGAAATGGTTGAAAAAGTAAATGAAGCCTTGTGTGAAAAACAAATTATGCACGAGAGATCAATAACAGTAACACCTGAGCTTGAAAAAGAAAGGGCAATGATTAAATACCAAACATACCTTATACCTCAAGAGGAAATGGATGTTAAAGTTTCAGCGTGTGAACGCTCGAAAACTGTTGCAAATAAACAACTAAGTTTTCCAAAATTTACATCTGAAGAAAGAAATGATTCTCTACGCCTAAATAATCAATTTTCAACTGTTACGAATATAATTCCAGAAGGAAATCTAATTGCATCTGAAAGCGATGAGAAAGCTTTATGTAATGAAAAATTAAATCCCACTCGACATTCTTTAATAGAAAATGGTGAAATCTTTGTATCAGGTGCAAATTTAAATCCCGATCTGCAATCACTGAAAACAAATAAGGAAAAGAGCTTTATACCGCTCGTTGATATCGTAGTAAAACCAACTTTTGAAAATGACAAAGAAGTTATCTCTGCTGAAAACGTATTTTCAGATCCTTCTCTCGGTGCTCTACAAAATAAAGAAAGTTTTGTTTCAAGAGCAAATATTACTCTATCACATAAACACGTGGAAATGCCAGGTATTGAGCTATTATATCTTAAAAATAAAACAGTTATTTTTTATATAATTATAACATTAATAATTTAATTGTATTTATATTTAGAAAATAAGTATGATGAATCAAAAGAGAACAATAAATTGAAGTACAATGGCAAAGGGCATTCCGTGTCGAATGAAGGTGAATTGTATTCAACAACAGGCCACCATAAAACTTTAATGTCACAAGACGAAACGAACTTTAATGTTAAAACAGTCAGTAAATCCGAGATTGCTAATGAAAAACGTTCATTAAATTCACCTTATAATAAAAAATATATATCTGTAGCAAATATAAATTTGAGGCCAACATCAGCACAAGAATCAGGTACGTTATTTTTATAAAAATCATTTTATATTTATGAACTCTGTATGTTTCGGGTTCCTTTTTAATCTTTTCGCCTTTCTTGAATCATCTCCATCAAGAGTTGTATTGAGCTCACACTGGGGTGTGATTAAGATAGGAAAGGATGGAACCGAATATATTTGAGACAAAAAACTTCCCGGTTTCTTTTGATTCTCCAGGATTATAACGTGGGGTGTATATCTGGGATTCGATGTCAGATCTCCCACCTTCACGGTTTTGGCCTTGTCATCTATTACATAATAATTGTATTGTATTTTTATTTTTTTACGTAAATAGATAAGAAGGATGAAGAAATAGTAAACAAAAATGAAGATAACTGTCGTAATTACTATGGTCGATCAACATTATCAGAATTTCAAATTGCTGAAACAAAGCAAAAATCCAATACCAAAACTAAATCCACTCCTTCGCAATTAAATAAAAGTACTGTAGTTTTGGTAAACGATATGTCTGAAAAACAGTTTTATTCCATACGAAATAGGCAAGAAGAATCTTTAATAACTACCGACACGGCTGCAGAAAGCATAAATGACACAGATTACAAGATTCATACTAATGAAGGTTACAATACTAAACTGAGAATATCTGTTTTGCCAACAAACCAAGTGAAAAAAGATATTTTTGATAACAAAAACGAATTAGAGAAGAAAGAAAATGAAAATGTCGAGGAACCTTATAATGAACCAATTTCTTTTCAATTTCCTTATTGTAAATCAGAATTATCAAATGTAATGAAATTGGATGATATTGAAAAAGCCTGTGTTGATACTAATAAAGAATCATCCGTATCATCAACATTAAAAGAGAAAAAAGAAACTTCGCTTACATCAGACACTACAAAGTTATCATCGAATAGGCATTTTCCTTCACAAAATGTTAAAATACGACAAAATTTAGTTTGCGCCAAACTCATGTTTCCTCTAAAGAAAACTCAGAATGGAGAAAGGAAATTTGATTGTAAGGATCTAATACAATGCTCAACTTCATTTCATCAAAGTGATCAAAGCAGATATCAATTTAAAGAACGTCATTATTCATCAAACGAAGAAAATAGAGATACAAAAAATTTTGGGAAAATTAAAAATATATCTCATTGCACGAGTTATCCATTGAAGAAATGTTCTGGAGAAATAATTACAAGTGCTGATATGAATAGAGACATAAGATTACAACAAAAAGAGATCAGCAAAGATTGGAGATTACACAGTGAAACGAATATAAAGCAACGTGCTTCACATGATTCGAAAAACACAGCATTGTGCACTAATACTCTATCCCAAACAGACAACAGTAAAGAAGTAACTTCATCACACCGAAATTATGAAAAAATTAAAACCGCCCAAACACTAACACAAAGTAATATCAATCAAAATAATACTTCGTTACCACACTGTAAAGAAAATCCATGTACTTCAATTGGTTCTTCTACTATTACTGTAGAAGCATCATCACCGTCGAAGAATGCAAGTTTTGCAGTGCTTGCATCATCTACCGCATTAAATTTAATGGAAAATGTAATAGTCGAAAATATAGATTACAAACAGGCAAACTTGGACTTGCAATCAGCAATTTCACATGATTACGTACGTTGCGAAAATGTCATTTTTGCTACTAGTTGTTATCCAGAAAATCTTCCGGTTAATGTCTCAGCAACAGAAACTTTAAACTCTAGCATAACAATGCAGAATGAGCAATGTTACCGATCATGTAATATTCAACCTTTCGAAACAGTAGTAGAAGTATATTCTTCACCACGTTTACCAGAAGAAGGCAATTTTCATAAAATGGAAACCACTTTAAATGCTGTAACCGTAAGCCCAAAAGAAGTTCATCAGTGTTTAAGAGCTACAGTGGCAAAAGAATGGAAAACTAATCCCATTCTTCAACCTGAAATATATGCCCTGTGCCAAGAAAGAATCGACATTGCAACACGTCAGTCTAGTTTGTATATATCGAAATTGAAAAATTTAGGAAATATTTCGAAAAATGATTTAATTGTTGTGACAGAAGATTTACCAAATCACCACAGAAATTATTCTGAAAATAATGGAATAATTAATGAAAAAGTACATACTTTCGAAATTCAGGAAGCATACAAGAAACATCCCGATAATAATAATTATTATTTTCGGGGAGGGTTTCATGCTGACAGTAGAATGAAACTTGAAAGAAACTGTGAATTATATCTGGAACCTGCTGATGAAATTCATGAAGTCAGCAGCAATAATGAGAAGAATAAGCTTAAAAATCTACAAACGTCTTCCCGTGTACAAAATAGTAAAACCCATTCTCACATTAACAACAAAGATATGATTTTTAATAAAATGAGCAAACGTAAGAAAGAACGGAAAATCAACTCTATAGGAACGGACGAAACAAAATTGAAAGTTTCGCCGAAATTGTGTGATTTTGAAGTTTCCGCTGGGAAGAAAAATCTAGAAGTAGATACTCTGGAAGTAGTTCCAATGGAGCGTAACAGAGAACAATTCGATTTAGAAAAACGTAATTCAAAATGGCTACCATACATGGCAAGAAAGAATAATAATTGGTGCAACGTTGCGATTCAAACAGATGAAAATGATCCAAAACTGAAATATTCTAGAAATGTCAAACAGGAAATTACTGAAAGAGGAAAATTTCAAAACATGCCAAAGAAAATAGAAGATAACTTTGATTTCGAATTAAACAAAAGAAAAATTAAATCGAAGCATCAAAATGTGAAGAATGATCAAATTAAAATAAAGAAGTTAAAATCGTCAAGGAAACACGACAATTTTGAGAATTCGAAGAATTTTCTGTATCCAATTCTAAATATTGGAATGAAATTTTTGGAAAATCTAGAAAATTCAGATAAATAAATTAAAAAATTCACTTTTAGAAACTATTTTATGAAACGTACTTTTTGGCTCATTTGTTGGATTCGATGAAATCTCTTATCACCGTCTTACCAAGGCAAGCTTCGTGAACTTTTTCGGGTTTTTTTCACTTGTCTAAAACGTATACGGAGCTTGAATTTTTTAGAAACTTAACATCTTTTTAGGTGGACTTTCTATAAAAATACAGGCTCTATAAAATTCTCTCAAGAGATTGCCAAATTGTGGCGTTGTTTCGGTGTTTAAAAGAAATCAAAGTGCTTTTAGAAAGAACTAATACTACTAATGAAACGTACGGTTCCAACCTCTAGAAATTTTTCACAAAGTTCAGGATACCAGAGAAAATTTTCGGAGATTTTAAACTTATGAATTTTCATACGAATTTCTATCTGACTGAGCTGATTATGGGCTTGGCCGAATCCACAATAGTTTCCATTATTTCAAAATAATCAAAGATTAATCATGGAGTCGGTGACAGAACTTAACATATTATACTAGATAAGCAGTTGTTGTTAGTGAAAGTAAATTGTTGTGCTTTTAACTTACTTTTACTATACGCAGACATATTGACAACCCGTAGTTTCAATTTCATGCGTTCACACAGACTCGTAAAACTACAGTGCCAATGTATTCGTTGTTAATACCATGATAATGTTCTAAGAATAGAGGTTTCTCAGTGGCATTACAAGTTGGGTGTGCACCAAGACTATGGGATTTCTTTAACAAGAATCAGAAGCAAACAGTATTTATATTATTGTTGAAAATTGCATTTATAAAATATTTTACAGAACAACTCAGCACAGTGAAATTTGTGGTGTTTATTTCTCTTCATTTTTTATCCGAATTACGTTAAATTAAACACCGATATTTTTCAATCCACGATTATTTTGTATTGTTATATAATAGACACAATGCAAAGATTGAAGTGATTAAAGTTTGTTTTGATGCAATGTGCTAATTTCACTATAAATGTTTCATCGCATCTGAAAGACATTGCAAAAGCACCACTGTTTGATGAAAACGTTATAAGTACACTTTTTATTAGGAAAGTGATACTATTAGAGGTCAAATATTTCTGAACTTCAGGAGTTAGCTGCAATTATATCGAGAGTTACTCTCAAAGGAATAAATTTGATATGCTTCTTTACTTCCGTATTTTTCGAGCAACAATGCAATAATTAACAGACTCACACTTGATTTTAACATAATACAATACTGAATATAATATGTATTTATTCAGTTTTAGGTAAACATTTACCATTTACAAACAAATGGTGCTGTCTGTAAATTCTTCATCTATGCTGTTTATTAGAATAAATATGTACAAAGCGATTCAAAGTCAGTTCAAATGCAGAGAAGATCAAATACAATAAAATTTAATACGAAAACATTTGTTGAATGTTTTAAGGAATATTTTATTCGTTATTAACATTTATACTTTATATATATATATAAAACTCATCCTTACTCTCAAAATTAATCTTTTTGCCATTTAATAATAATTAAAAATATAAACCGTTTGTTATAACAAAATTTCATAACAAATCACACACAATTTTATTTATTTTTCTTAAACATTTTTAAAAATAAAACTCATGTTACGCAACTCTCGTTGGTTGATTTTTTGAAATAGTCTTTGAGGAGAAGTGAAAAACCAGGAAACAACTGTTTTAGTTTCTCTTTTCAAAACCGGTCTGGCTATACGGTATTTTTCAAGATTCTTCACCGATTTCATATCTAAATACAGTAGAGCGTCGATTATCCGAAAGTCAATCATCCGAAAGAATTCCAGTCCTCAAATTTAAATTTTCGCCATTGCTGTGGCGCTGCAATCTTTGGCTATGTCTTGGGCTACTCAAATATTTTACGTTTTTGATACTAAATTAACTTTTGAAGTATAATTTTTTATTGTTTTTATATTTTCCAATATATTTATTTTGTTCGTATAAAATAAAAAAATAATTTTTAACGATACAATAGTCTTCGTTAGGCTTAACATCGAATAAAATTCAACGCGAAGCGACACGCAACGGAGAAAAATGTCAAGATGGGATAAATTAATATATTTTTTCGTACATAATCGGCTATCCGAAACACCGATCTTCCGAACAACACCAGTCCCCAATTGATTCGGATAATCGACGCTCTACTGTACTGACAACTCCACATAAAACGTTTTTGCGAAAATTACCTTTATCACATGGTTCAGGTGTTCTGTTGCTTTATCCCATTAATTAAATACTACAATCCATGTTTAGTTTAAGCCAAAAAAGTTTATTATCAGTACTTTCTTTGACACTCTCTGTGAATCAATGTTTCTAACCGCGAGAAAATAAACATATTAAAAACAAAACTTCATTTTCTGGTTATTTTTCGGCGTTTAAAAATACATATTAGTACATGATATGAACGGTTTACAAAAGAAAAAAATTTCTTATTTTGGTAATTTAAGAAAGTTTTTTCTCGTTTTATCAATGTGTAAAACTTCAAACTTGTTTAAGGCCCTGCGATATCATTCACTATACAGATAAATACTCTATATTCGTGTAAATATGTAATAAGTCTCTATCTAAAATCTCGTTTTTAAGCATCTTCTAAAATCTTGTTCAAGGTAAACAGTGTAGGTATGTAATTTATTTTGAAATTTGTTTATTATATGTTCTTGCATTATTGAAGTACAGCTGATTATTATTTACATTTTGAAAAGTGTTATGAGCAAACCTAGTCACTCCCACAAGTATACTTGAAGTTGTATAGTCATATTTAATCAAATCTAACGGTTTGTTTCAACTATGTGGGTTCACAAATGTATACAATATAAAAAAAAACATTAAGAATGATCGATGGAAATTAATTTTTTGAAATTTGATTTGTTTTGATGTGTTAATGTAATACAAAATACCGGTGATGTGTCAAGAAAATATCTCCCGGTAGGACTTTCTAATGAATAGTGGACAATATTTAATTGTTAAACACTCAAAGAAAACTAGAAAAATTGACTTAGTGCGTTGGTAAGATGAGAACCCGCGAGCAACTACCGGTGTTCTTTTTGTATGAATAATAGATTTGTTCTAATAAATTTAAACTTTGTCGTTAAGTTCATCTAAGATTCTATTGTAATTTACATGACTTCTAATTGCAGCCTATAATTTAAACTTATGTGGTAGAAATGTTAAAATTGAGAGAATGGTTTGAAGTAGAAGCAGGTATACAAGACGACGATGTACTTCCAATCATCACATCTCGAATCTGTAACAGCATATTGAATACGGTGTACAAGCCATTATATACCTGAAAAACATAATTAAGTAATAAATTGAATTATAATATAAATTATTTATTTTATATTAGTACGTATAAAATATATCTACTTAAAACTAAAATAGAATCAACTGTTTTATTTCTATTTTACTGAGTTGAAAAAATTAAATTATAGTTGCAGGCCTGATTGAAAGTTATCCGTTTGTAAAAAAGAAATTTAGAAACTGTAATGTTTTTCTATCAACATATAGTAATAATTTCACAAAACTTTCGATAATCGAATATAAGTAGAGTGATCACAAGAAGTTTTATCACATATTTCACTGTAAATAGACCTATCAACAATCTACGAAAATGTTAAAATACTCAAAAAAATCACATTTACGTGCTGTTGTTTAATCACTTCAAAAGTAGTCACTACGAATCGAAGGATCGCAATCCGATCTGTATGGCATTTAGCGAGAACAAACTCAATAAGCAGACCTGGCTACAATTGGTTCAAAAAGTTGAAGGATAGAGATTTCTGCCTTAAAGACAATTCATCGAGATATCACTTACACCATTGATAATGACGTTGACCTGCAACTCATAGACGACAATCCACATATCCACAAGAAAATATCAGTGATATAACCCAACAAGTTCACTGTTTCCGTACATTCGAAAAGTTGATAAAGTCTAATACAGGGGTGGCCAACCTTTTGCATACCATGCGCCAATTTTTAGATAGACGAGTTCAGATGCGCAGTGGCGTACAGTACCTTGGGTGTTAGCAGCCCGGNAAAATTCAACATCTATAGAAAAAGAACTACGTAAATTTTCAATTTAACTGGTAAAATTTATATTCAAACACAACTTACTTTTAACTTTTCTGTCAACGACAAGGAAAATGCAGAAAATCTTCGGATTTCTTGATAAGAATCGTATACCTGAAAATCACATTTACATTTACAATTTAAAATAAGAATATCAGAGAAAATAATTACAAAGCATTTTATTTACCGAAGCAGCGGCACGGGAAATCCCAAAAGCGCAGACGATGACAACAACAATAAGAAGAATTGTAGAAAAACATATTATAATGTGAAGATGTAGAAGGAACTTTCCGAAAATCGATGCGTATATGAGGAAAGATACAAGATACAATGCGATTCCGTATAAAACAAGCATATATTTATTCCATTTTTCGTTGACATCTTCGATAAATCTGCAAAGTTCCATGTGGTTTGAAATCAAGTGGTCAATATTCTCTTTCGGACATTGAGATTTTGCCTGTTGTAGTTGAACGGATAGACTGTTTAGTCTCTGTGTTACACAGATACCACACAATATGTTTGTGGATATAAACCACATCCATAATGTCGATTCGTATATAGAGCTGATTTGAAATACTACAGAACAAATAAAAGCTCTCGACGTACTTGAAGCCTTTTCTACTTTCTTGTAAATGACAACAGAAGTGAAGAAAGTGATCAAAAATAGCACGAAGGCATAAGAGATCGCAATAAAGAAAAGCGTGAAACGTTGATACAGGCGTAGATTTTGATTCTGGTTTTCGTACTTCGATAGGGTGAGATTAAGAGATAATTTTTATTTTCTGCCATTTTGAATAATTAGAAAAGAACCCAATGATATACAGGAAAATATTCCACACATAATGTGAGCATTATCTTTTCCTGCTGTATTGGCAATCGGGCTGCATAGTATGACGTTATCTTGGGTTCCGAAATATTGAATTGCATGTGTAAGAACATGAATGATTATCATTAATTGGGCGAAATTGGCATGAAAAGATACAAATT